TGGTTTGGATCAAATCATTAATATGTATCTCTGACTCTACTATGGGGATTATAAAATGAAGAAGTCATAGGCGAAAATACCAAGAAACAGAGGTCGTGGTTAGTTGCCAAGGGTGCTGTGAATCCATAATGAGTCTATATGAACTGGTGGTCTTTACACCCAGGGCTATGGAGCTGGGAATGCAAGGTGCCTGCTGGATTTTCTCTCACTGCCCACTCCGTCTGGCTCCCCTTCTAGCAGGCAGCACCCCATCTCACACTGCCGATACAGTCACCTGTGTGTCTCCGGCACTGTGCCTGGCGACTCCTGGAAAGCATTCTTGCCCACGTTGCAGTGAGCCCAATGGTACCAGCCATGTTCTGACTGATGGTGGCCCACTTCCTTTAAGGGTCTAGAGACCTCTTACTGCCCTCCGCACACAATCCTGGCCTGCAGGAGAACCACTGCCACAGGGGGTCCCGGTGGTGGTCGGTTCGTGTTTGGAGTTCCCTGTCTTGCTGCAGGACTTGGCACAGGCCGCTCTTATCCTTAAGTCAGTTAGGGTGATTTTTCCAAGCTTTCTTAGAAGGCTGGGTCCTCATGTTCCACAGGATCTTAGCTGTCAATTCACCCTCCTTTCCTGCCCACTCCCTCATATATAAAGGACAAATGTATGAAATGCCCCTTGGATTACAATCCCCAAAGACAGCTCCCACAGGAAACTAAGAAAATGTCACTCTCATGATGGATTACAAAACACTTAGCTATTTCTTAACTCTTAAATTTTCTGATTTAATGTCAAGTCATGCGTTTTTAAGAACACAGTCAGCAAAATTAATTAGTAAAACTTAAGGCTAATTGAGGCCATTGAGAGTTTGTTACCAGAAAGATAAAGCTGAGTCAACAGGTTTAAGTTACAATCACAACGTCAACAAGCACAAAGGGCAAGTATCAGCTTCCCCATTTGAAAAGCAGAAGTACAACTGACTGGCATGGAGCAACTTCATGCTCAACATGTTTATGTGAGTAAAATTAACCTCAAAATCCTCTGGAACTGTCCTAAGGGACTTCTGGTGATGATGGAAATACTCACATACCGTCCAGTATGGCGACCACTATCCACATGTGGCTATTGAGCACTTGAAGTGTGGTGAGTCTGATTGAGGAAATGAACTTTTATTTAATTAATTTAAATTTTAAACACCCAATGTTGGTAGTGCAACCATCCAAGAAATTGCTATAAAAATGTCAAAGTCCTATTCTAGGGGCTGGAAATGCACCTCACTGACAGCATGTGCTTTGCAGGTGCAAGGCCCTGGGTTCAATCCCCAGCAGTGGGCAAAGTAAAAATAAGAGCAAATCTAAATTTCTAATCTGCAGGCTAAACTTCCATACCAGAAAGTCCTACACGAGTGTCTAGAAAGTCTGGCTGTGACAACTAGTATTCACCTTTCTCAAAGCATAGACACTAAAACCAGACTGTCCACATTCTCCACTGATAGCATAGTTTAACGAAAGCCACTTGGTGGTGAAGGCCACCTTGCTGGAACACATGTCCAGTTCAGAAGAATGAAATGGGAGGCAGATGAGTTTAAAATGCATATTTCTTTCCCTCTTCAGGGAAATGAAGTGTTTTGATTATGTGTGTGTGTGTGTGTGTGCATGTGCGTGCAAGTGTGTGCATGTGTCTATGTGTGTGTTTTTCCGGTACCAGGGATTGAACTCAGGGGCACTCTACCACCAAGCTATCTGCAGCCCTTCTACTTTTTGAGACAGAGTCTTGCTATTGCCCAGGCTGGCCTTGAACTCTCAATCCTTCTGCCCCAGCCTCCTCAGTAGCTGGGATTACAGGTGTGCACCACTGCATGCCACAAAGTTCAAAGGCCACTCCGAGATTTTCCCATCTGTGTGATGGAGAAAAACATCTTAGAAATGTGCCAGAGAAAAATGTGGCTGTGATGTTTTGACAAAAGTGACACTGAATCACCCAGTGGGGACCCTATTCTTGGTTTACTGACGGAGGGGCGGGAAAATGGACTGGACCAACAAGCTTCAGGAAGACTTTAGAGACTGGATTGGAGAAGGCCCCAGCAGAGCATAGCCCTGTCCAGAACAGCGGCCATACTAGGGGCCAGGACCAGTGCATTTGCCCCTCAGTTGGTGCCTGGACACTCTGACAGCACGCCGATCTGCTGAGAAAACACTGAGACAAAGGTCTCCACATTTCTTCATCTTCTCTGTTGCCCTCCTATTTACTCCACCATCTCCTCCTGGATACCTCGTCACCTTCCTAATCTGTCTCCCCGTGTCTATTCGTAACCCCCTGTAATCCAACCTCCACACAGCAGCCAGAATGATCTTTTAAAATCAGGCTCATTTCTCTGCTTAAAATCCTCCCTTGGTTCTTACCCAAAACAAAATCCAAACTCCTCACTCTGGCCTCCAAAGCTCTACTTCCAATTTTTTTTTTTGCTTCTTCTCATCCCATTGTTCCCCTTCTTTGTTCTGCTCCAACTGACCACCTCCTCCACATGTTCTTGAGGTAAATCAAACTTCTTCCCCCTCAGGCTCTGAGTTTCAGGGATTTAGATGCACTGTTTCATTTTGTCTCTACATACCCACGCCTGTAATCCCAGTGGCCTGGGAGGCTGAGGCAGAAGGATCACGATTCAAAGCCAGCCTCAGCAAAAAGGGAGGTGCTAATCAGCTCAGTGAGACCCTGTCTCTAAATAAAATACAAAAATAGGACTGGGATGTGGCTTAGTGGTTGAGTGCCCCTGAGTTCAATCCTGCCCCTCCACCAAAAAAATCATTTTGTCTTTATAATAAACCTGAGATTTAAAGGTAAATCCTGGCCACATAGTTGATGAGGGTTGGGAGGAGAACTTGAAATCAAGAGAGGTCTGCTGAGGTTGTAACATGGTTTCCTTTAAAGTTGGGCTCTTCAGGGAGTCCTGACCAACTCCACTTTGCTCTGTGGCCTGTTCTTTCTGAGTCTTTTCTCCTTGGCTTAGCCCAGGTTCCAATAAGAGCCAGCCTCATAGGCAGACCACCTCCGGATGGAACAAAATTGCTCCCTCAAGCAATAAAGATTTCCCTGATGCCACAGAACCTCAAAGAACCAGACCTGAGATAAGGATCCACAGTCTGACCAATCCGTTTGACAAGGCATGTTCCCTCCCTTCCCCTTTCCTCCCCTATGGCCACACTGACTACATTCCTTTCCTACTTTACCATCACTTATCTCTCCAGTTGAGCTCTCCAGGTGGCTTGTGGCTGTATCTGGTTTGTTGGGACCCCCAGGGTCAGACCTCTGGCCTGGGACTCCAGGAACAGGCTCATAGCTTTCACCTCGGAATTGCATTCAAATGAAGCAACATACACCACCTTTGTCTCCACACAGAAGAAGGAGACCACAGGCCTCTCCGAGGCAAATCCCTCCTTTGTTAAGGAAAATCTTGCCTGGACGCCCCCCCCCCCAGCCCCCAGTCAATGTTTCAGGCCACACCAACACTATCCTGCAATCCCCCCAAAACATTGGCCAACCATGAATTTCAACTTGTTAAGCATGTGATGCTTCTGGGCTAATAATTTTCTCTGATCGTTTTAAACTTGCAAGCATTTAATTACAATTAAAATGCAGCTATAATATGAAAAACAAGTTACTTTTATGAGTTACTTTTCAGAGACTTATTTCACATTTATGCTAATATCAATATTTCTAAGCTAATCTTTATGTCATTCTCTCCTGGCTCCATGTGCTGTAAAAACAATGAAATCTGTACCAATTCATCAGATGGCTGACATTTTTATACGAGGGCATGAATGCACATAAGAGCTGAGTTTTACATTATAGAGGAGGCCCTCTCATATCTGCCTGCCAAATGACCTTCTTTTTTTTTTTTTTAACTATTTTTAGATGTTGGTGGACCTTTATTTTGTTCATTTATTTCTATGTAGTGCTGAAAATCGAACACACATGCTGGGCAAGTGCTCTGCCACTGAGCCACAACCCCAGCCCCTCTGCAAGTGACCTTCCTAGTGGGAATGCTTCCTTGAAGGACAGGTTTCACTTTACATAAAGTAGGACTTATTAAGTCAGTTCCTATAATTTTTTGAGGGCTCAGCTTCTCCATCTATAAAGTGGGGATAATAATACCTTATTAGAGTGGTTTTGAGGATTCAGTGAGATTATGCGTGTTAACGACCTGGCACAGTAAATGCTAGTTTACACAGTCAGAAGCAGCTATTTCTTACAATCAGAATCTGTGGGTGGCGCTGTCTGACTAAAGGAAGCTCTCAGGGAACCAATGTTTTCAATTACCAAACAACTTCCCAACAACAACAAAAATAAAGATAGCAAGCACTGACTACAAAGATAACACAATCCAGCTGACTCTAAATACCCTTTTTAAAACACTAGTTGTTTCAAGATCAAGCTTCTGATCTTGACTCGGCATAATCTAGTATTGTTATCCAGTCCCCTGCCCCAATTATTATTATTCTCTATTCTTAGATTGCTTTTAGTGGTGGCTTCCATCCAGGGACATAAAGTGTTGTGTGTGTGTGTGTGTGTGTGTGTTTGCCTCCTCTCTCTATTTTCTTTTCCTAGTGGGTATGAAGTAGTCATAACAATATCTTTGATCTTTTATTTCCCACTGGGAATTTATGCAGCCATGAGGAATAACTAACTTCCAGAGGTCATTAGACAGACCTTTGACTGAAAATAGCCTTCATCAGGCATCCATAAAATTCAACTGAGTCAGGCTAGGTTCTCAGAAACACATCTGCTTTAAGAATTTATTCCTTCAAGCATTATCTTGAGCCCTTTCTAATCGCTAATGCAGGACACCACTAGATCTCTTAATAAAAATCTCCCAAATAGTTGAAGTAAATCCAACATTTCATTTATTCAGGCATTTGCCTCTAACCCAAATCCTCACACCAGAGAGAAAAAGCAACTGCCTTACTCTGCTTCCAATGCCCACTTTCAAGAGAATACCTTTTTAAAAAATGCTTACTGTGATTTTCCAAGTACATTTGCTATTTGGAGGGTACACTCCAGGAAAACCTTCACTGCCAATAAATCCAGACTCTCCAGTAAGAATGCCACCACATGTGAAAACAGGTCTGTGAAAATAAAAGAGGAAAGAATACTTAATTTGAAACATGGTTTAACAATCTAATGTCACCCTCAGAAAGATGTACTGAAATGGATGAGAAGTTAATATGGTTTAATACTTGCTTGCACCAGATCATGGATCTGAAAGCTGCTAGCTCTCAGAATAGTTAAATTACAGCCTGATCAAGCGCTCAGGCCAGATGCCATCTGTCTCCATCATAATCGCCTAGGAATACATTTACCTAGGAATATATATACATTTATAAAACCTGGTCCTCCAGGGTACATTCAAGTTTGTAGGAAAAAAATGGTTAGTGGATCAGCTTAACTGGAGAGAGGGGGAGAAGTGGTGAGAGCCAGGCTGAGTGAGGCTCAAGGTTTTAAGGATAGCCAGCAATTAGTTAATATTAAAGTTTTGAAGTTCCCAGATTTGGAGCCATGCCTAGGTCTCCTCCCCTCTTCTGAAAATCCTTGGCCATTGGTGGCGCCTCCCATTGAAAAGGAAGGCTGATGCTGATGGAGGTACTGGAAGAGGAGGTGCCAAAACTGGCCCTGGGTTGGTTCTCTCAGCCCAGATCCTGGAGCCCTCTAAAGGGTGGCAAAGAGTTAACTTTTTGGAGCAGCTCTCTGGGTTCCCCTTGGGTTTTCATCCCTGGGCAAAGCCTCTGGGGCAAAAACAGCAATCAAAGCAGAGGCCACAGATGTGGGCCCTGCTACTTCCCTCCACTCCCTTAAATACTCGGGGAGAGGAGAGGCAGGTCAGTTACCCCCGCCACGTGGTGGCCGGGCCAGCTGCTGAGCCCGGGCGCTGGTCCACGCGGAGCCCACTCGGCATAGGGGCGAGCGCAGGGCGGTCCGGGCGCCCCGAAGCGCGTGGAGAGGGGCGGCACGCGAGGCTGCAGGGGAGCGGGAGGTCTGGGGTCGTGTTACCTCTCCGGGGGCTGCAGCCGGGATGGCCGAGCGGCGGCCAGCAGCAAGCAGAGCGGGGCCCAGGCGCCGGCGCCCCTCATGGCCAGTGTGGACGCGCGGGCTCCACCCCGCCGGCGCGCACCCCGCTTCGCACCCGCTGGGGCTCACACCCCCGCTGGCATCGACCCTGGCGCGCTCCCCGGCTTCGCTGCGGTCCGGGAGCCCTCACTCTCCGCGCTCGCTCGCTCGCCGCCGAGGGCAGCCAGGTACCCCGAGTGCGCAGCGGCCGGCGGGGCGGGGGCGCTTTTATAGGCAATCACGGTGCCGTCTGACGACGCTCCATTTCCCCTGAGGAGTTGCTCTGGCAGCCACAAGCCACTGCTGAATATCCCGTTTGTTCTCCGGCGGCAGGAGGGGCGGCTCCCAGGCCAGAGCCGCCTCCTCCCCTGGGGCGGGCGGGCGTCTCCTCCGTGCGCCCCGGGACCCACCGCGGGGACTGCGGGAAGAAGGATGGGGACCGAGTGGTACCCAGGCGGGCCTGGCTCCGCCATCCATGGACCAGTCTCGGGGTGAGCGTCTTGGTTTGCTTTGGAGAGTGCCCCCCCCCATAGTTGCTTTACAAAGTATCATTTTTATACTTAGCTGATTGCTGCAAAACCTGGGGTTCCCTGTTTTGTCGCCTTCGAACATCCAGATCCAAGAGGAAAGCAAAGACATTCTATCATATTTTAACTCCGGGTCTTATTCTTTTACCTTAGACATACACAATCTCAGTACATTCTTCTGTTTTTCCTGTTCTTGAAAATAAAGAGGGAGATACTTTTTTTTTGGGGGGGGGGGGCATTTAAATCAACCATCTCAAGCCAGCGATTTTTGAGTGAATTCTCATTAAATGTCAAATAATCCCGAATCACCTAATCTCACCAGCCCATGTTATGTTCTGGAAATGGTGTTTCTCTGCTGGCATCTCTCTGTTTTTAGAAGAGTTTATCCAACAGTTGGGAAAGAAGCTTTCCAATTTCTTTCTTTAGTATTGATGAGTTAAGCTGTTAAGAAGTTGTTTTTCCAAGAAGAACAATTCTAGCCTTGTGTAATGGAGTCTTTCCTTTATTTAATTACACAAAAATAATTTTAAACCTTTATATTTGGTAAGTTCTTCCCAGTAATAGGGATTAATAAAAGAATAACAAAATAGAATGGATGAATTGAGATTTTCAATACCCATACTACCCATGGGAGCTACAACTTAATTTCATGCCTGATTTCTGCTGTTCCCTCTAAATATTTTCACCTTTTTAAGAAAAAATATAAGCATTAAAGTAAAACTTGTTCAAAAATTCATTTCTAATGATGTGCTTGTAATGTTAAGAATATAAACACTTGGGACAAAAAAATAGGTAAAACTGGTTACAGAAAGTAACCTGACTTTTAGTAATGGAAAACCCAAGAGTCTATACTAGTAATCAGAACTTCCCTGCAACTTTCAGATTATCTTAGCATTTTTAAAAAGTGAAGAAAAAAATAACACATAAACTACAACTTTTGAAGAGTTCCCTAAAGGCACCACGCCCTGTATTACATTTTTTTAAACAAGGGATTACAGAATTTGGCAAGCTGAATTATATCCTGAAACTTACACCCTCAACTCAATAAAAATTTCTTTAGAACAACAAAGAGAAAAATAAGCGATTGTTTATTTTGCACACATTTCAAGAATAAGCTACCCAATAGCATAAGTGTTTTAGATAATAGTTTATTAAAAAGTCATAGTTTGAAATTACAAAGTGAAAATATTGTGCAATTCAGTTTGGGCAATGGTTTGGAGTCCTCATAGCCAGAAAATACTTCATTCTTAGGACTAAACTAAGTTTTTGAAATTCAAAATAAAAAGCACAAAATATTAAGCATGCCTAAATAGATAGAAAACTATTTGAACAAAAATATTCAGCAGTGTTTTCTTTTCCTAATTTATAGCATGAGAATGAGTTCATATCCTTGCTGAAGAGTTGGGTTTCTAACACTGATCATTATGTTGTTGTTGAGACTCATAAGAAAGACATTGATCTCACCATGTGATTTTAAAAGTTTACTAAGACTCATATTATTTGCTTTTAAAAACACATATTTGACTTGGAACTACAGTTCTAACCAAAATTATAAACCTTACTTGTCCCAAGAAGTTTAATGTGTTAAATTTGAGGCAGACCCAAGGGGACTCTGAAGATGTGTGTATATGGTTCATCTCTCTGAGACCAGGTTCTGGACTTCTGCAATGCAAAAGTAGTATAATGGCCAGGGAGCCACAGAGCTCCAGGCAGTGGGAAAGGGGAGAGGTGACGATGACAAAAGCTATAGAGTGCGGCCCGGGTTCGATCCTCAGCACCACATACAAACAAAGATGTTGTGTCCGCCGAGAATTAAAATAAATAAATAAATATTAAAAAAAAAAAAAAAAGCTATAGAGTAGATTCTCAAAATGTAAAGTGATCCTTGTTATCCCGAATGTATACTATCCAGTCTCTGCAGTTAGCAGGCGCAGAATCAAAGTCATGGGAATATGGAAATATTCACCAATGAACTGACCACTTGAAAATTAGACCCCACTCAAGCATTCCTTGCTGCATAGTATGAGCATTTAGTTGTGTCTAGTATGTCTAGCTGATTGGCCTCTGATTAGTTCACCAACCCTATAAATATCTGAAAATGCAATGTAAATCTAATGCACATTTATATCACAATGCAGTATTAATTTTGTAAAAGATCCAGAGTTTCATAAAATGAATGCAAGCTATGTTAAAATAAGGGGGAGAATAATGAGCTTTTTTGGAGTAATGAAGACCTGGATGAGTTGCTTCAGTAACAAAACAGAAGGAAAGAAACTGAAGAAGTTTCCCAGCCAAAAAACCCCTTCAAAAAAGAATGACTTTGTGTGTATGTATGTGTGTGTGTGTGTGTGTGAGTGCAGGAACTCAACTTATGCTAAGCCCGTGCTCAATCATGGAGCTATACCCCCTAGCCCCCAAATGAATGACTTTTTAATATTTATTTTTTTAGTTGTAGATGGACACAATATCTTTATTTTATTTATTTATTTTTATGTGGTGCTCAGGATTGAACCCAGGGAGAGGTGAGCACTCTAACGCTGAACCATAACCCCAGCCCCAAAATGAATGATTTTTAATAACAAGGCATCAAAGACAAACCTGTGAGAAAAATGCAGGAGCCCCCACAATATTTTTCCAAAAGTGACTGTGCTAGCTTTCTTTTTCTATAAAATATACCTGAGCAAATCACATTAGAAAGAGAAAAGGTTTGTTGGGGCTCACAGTTTCAGAGCTTTCAGTCTATGACTGGTTGGCACCATAGCTTTGGGCCTGTAGATGGCACATCAGTGAGGGAGTGCAAAGTAGAGTGAAACCACTCACTTCTTGCTGGCAGGTATAAGAAAAAGAAAAAGGAAGAGGCTGGAGGCCCTACCTCCCCTCTGAAGCCACACCCCCAATGACCTGAAGACCTCCCACTAGGCCCAACCTCTTAAATGTTCTTCTATTTCCCAATTGCACCACCAGCTGAGGTGGAAGCCTTTAACAGATGGGCCTTGGGGGAACATTAGAACTGTAGCAGTGATCTCCTATACACTGCACTATGAGAGTCAGACGTAAAAGAGGAGATGTTTGTATTTGCTCTGTAGTTTTGTCAGGAAAACTGTCTACAAAGTTCACCTTGATTCATTCTTTGTTCATGAAGAGAATTAGCACACAGTTTCAAATATAACTGAAATTTGATGAACACAAAATAAATTTAACTTTCTAATTTTCAGTTTCATTTTAAAGATAAAATCCTGGGCGGGGGATGTGGCTCAAGTGGTAGCACGCTTGCCTGGCATGCGTGTGGCCCGGGTTCGATCCTCAGCACCACATACAAACAAAGATGTTGTGTCCGCCGAAAACTAAAAAATAAATATTAAAAATTCAAAAAAAAATAAAGATAAAATCCTAAGCAACTTTTCAATACCTACCATAAAAACTTTGTACCTATTTTATGAAAATAAGTGGACTTTTCATGTACAATTGCCCTCAGATATGGAGAATCCCCAATTATCTTGAAAGGTGCCTGAGCACCCAGTCTAGGAACCCTCTTTCTGAGGGGAAGAGGGTGGAGGGGAGAAAATAGGGAGTGGCTGGATCTCCCTTTCCACTATCCTGAGTCACATCCAGAGCACAGGTGTGTCTTGTGCTTCCTTGAAGGTGACATTGCTCCATCCAAACCATGTGGCGCTCTAGATTTGTAAGTGCTGCAAATCTATAGAAGAAATGAAAAGTATCTGAAAAGCAATTCGTGTGGAAATTCTTTTGTGCAGCCCAAGTTAGTGATGATACATGTTCATGATGCTTCCATAATATCTGTGGTTTTTCAAAATTATCAAACGGGATTTTTTTTTCATCTTCTTTTATCTAGGAAAGTATGATAGTGCAGAGTTATAATATTAATACTATAGTGATGGAAATGCCTTTCCTAAATTCATTTTGGTGCTGAGGTTGAACCCAGGGCTTTGTACTTCCTGGGCAAGCAGTCTCCCACTAAGCTACATCCTCAACCCCTGAATTCAGCATGTTAGATACTATCAACATTTAGAAATTCTCTGTAATCTTTGAGTTCTGGGCACAGACCCAATCAGTAGACATACTTGTGTCCTTTAAATTTTAGAATTAAAAATTAGTTCGATATTTTTTATATTTGTGAACATACATTAGGAAGAAAACTAGAGTTTCCCTCCATTCCCTCCCACCACTGCCCCCACCAAAAAGACAATGCTAGAGAGGAAATGTATTGGTCAGGCTTCTTAGTAACAAACAAACAAGTCCACTTAGTGTTGCATTTAAAAACAGCAATAGGTGGTGTTACCATTAAGACAATTGGGGAACCAGTCTCAAAGCTAATTTCCCTGGAACAATGGCCAAAGCCCTGCCTCAGAAGAGGCCCAGTGAGAAATCTATTGTCATTGCTGCCACCAAGACTGAGCACTAAATGCAGATCCTGGAAATTCCTGCAGTGGACACTTCATTGTGCACCTCAGGGCATTCCTAACCCTTGCAACATTCCTGCCCCAAAGGCCAGACGCCCCTCCTGCCCTCACAGAATGAAAGCTTATCACAGACCCCCCTGTGTCCATGTTGATCTCTTTTGATCAAAGTCTCATGCAAATGCATCTGAATACTGTGCATGCTACTTGTCATCTCAGCTGCAAGGGAG